CCGCCCGGCAGCGCCCCCGCCTGGCGCGCGGCGGAGCAGGTGGGGCCGGTCCAGCCAGAAACCGCGGGTCGGGCTCCACCTAGGTGTGCAGGGGCCTCACTGCAGAGCCTGCGAGCCAGGCGTCAGCGCGGGGGAGAGCGGCCTTGGGCCTGGCCGCCAGCTGGGGTGCCCCTGGCACCCCCTGACCCTGGAGAGAGAGGAGAACTGGGCCGCGCAGGTGCCGCCCTGGCGCAGGCTCTGACCTCGGCTGGGGGTTTACATTGCACAGGCTGCACTGGGGAGGGGGACGCCTCCAGGGGCCTGAGACTTGCGCCTCTGCCTAGAGACACCCACACCATGGAGACACCCTCACGCGCGCACATCAAGGGCCCTAAGGCACACACCCTCGTACCCTGCACCACTGTAGGTGCTCGGAGAATGGCCACCTCTCTCCCCCCCCCCCCATGACGTCCATTCCCTCCTGATGCTGGTTCCCTTGCTGTGGCCACGAGGGACAGGCAGGGGAAGTTGCAGGTGGGTTCAGCCCAGCCTCGGCATAGGGACCTCAGGGTCTGGCTCGTCTAGCCTGGAGCCTTTCAGGAAGCTGGTATGGCAGGCAGGCCTGGGGGCTCTTGTTAGGTACCGCTGAGCCCAAACCCACCCAGCAGGTCCTGCAGAAGGTTTTCAGAGACAGCAAATCTCACAGGAAGAAACTGTCCATCCTTCTCCTGTGGAGCAAGCAGCTGGTGGACTCAAACCACACGGCTTTGAATTGACAGCACAATTCCTTACCACTAAGCCACCGGGGCTCCCTCAGGGTGCTCTTACTCAGACCACATTCCCCTTCAAATGAGGCTCCCGAGCAGAAAGGTCACCCAGTGTCCGCCTGACAGGTGCTCAGTGCGGATCAAGGAGAGAAAGACGGGGAGAGGAGAGGTGATGAAGGGAGGCTGTGGTCCAGGGAGCAGGACAAGCAGGTCCCTGGAAGGTCACTCCCTCAGACTCAGGGATTCATTGAGCATCCAGCAAGCTGGTTGGGGGCCTTTTTGAAAGCAGGGTTTTCTGAGGTCTCACAGATGGAGGCCCCAGTGTGTCCTGGGTCATCAGGCCAGGCCCCAAGTGGGTCTAGCCTACAAGAAGGAGACAAGCTCTGTGCTCCCTGCTCTCCACTGACCCCTCCCCAGCTGGCCTGAGCACACCTCCTTCTGGCACCACTCCCTCCCCAAGAGACCAAGAAACAAGGCCACAGGTCAGTGCCCTCCCGAATGCCAAAGCAGCCTGGCTTTACACTGACCAAGCAAGAATTCCATGTCCCCAGCCAGGCACAGTCCCTACCCCCACCCAAGGCCCCCCACTTCCTGTCCCCTCCTCTCTCTTCTCCCATCACTGCACCCCCAGACATCCCTAGCAAAGCCTGCCCTCCCTGACTTTGCCAAGTCTGACCTCCACCAAGGTCACTCCTTCCCTCTCTGAGCAAGGCTCCTGTCTGCCGAGGGCCCCAGGGTGATCTGAGTGCTCTGTAAACGGGCACCTGCCTGGCTCCTGTGCCACCTCAGAGGGGAATGCACTGTCTCTAATGTAAGACCTTTCCCAAGCAAATGTGTGTATCTGAAATGGGAGAAAGTGCAAAGAATTCAAAGTTCACCAGGGGGCATCGCTTACAGCAAACCATTTAGAGGATCCTTGTTAAGAGAATAGAATAAAAGAGCAGGAAGGAAACCAGAGACAGGCAGAGGGGGGAAGACAAGAGAAAAAAAAAGTACCTGAAGAGGAAAAACTCCCCTGAGTTTTCTTCAACAGGTGGGATGGGGGCCTCTGTGGCTTGCAATGTGGGGACAGGCCCCCTCCCCAGCCCCGATGTCTAGGGAAGTGCCCACAGCACAGCTTCTACTCACTCTCAAGGGGGCCCCAGGAGAGAAGGTGGGAGATGGTCCAGCTCTGGGAGCCCCAGCAGTGTGCTCCTCCGGGGTTTCTGGAGCAGTGCCTTTTGGAAAGGGGACAGTGACAACAACCCTTTCTTCTAAAGTGCTCCTGGTGGGTTCGAGCCGCTGACCTTCAGCTTAGCTTCATGTTGGGTGTCCTTGATCAAAGCAACCTTGTGAGCAACAGGTCTGCACCCCATCAGATCCTGTGCCCATCTCTGGCACGCCTGAGCCCACTGCTGCAATCACCATGTCAATCTATTGCGACCGGGGGTCTTCCTCTCTTTCGCTGACTCTCCGCCCTTCCGTGCGTGAAATCCTTTCCCAAGGAATAGCCTCTCCTAGCAACATGTGCAAATTATGAGACTAAGCTTTGTCGTCCTTGCCTCCCCCTGCACTCCAGCTGCACCGTTTCTGAGACACACCTGTTACTCATTCTTTGGCAGTCCATGGGATAGCCAGCACTCTTCAAAGAGAACAATTTTTCTTCTATCCCTTCTCATTGTAATACTTTGCTTTCCATATTGGTCTTTTCTTCCTCCTCTGCCTTTTAATGGCCTTTTGCATCCTTCCCAGATGATATTCTTGATATCCTCCCACAGCTCATCTGGTCTTTGCTCATTAGTATGCTAGGCCTCAAACCTGTTTCTGAGATGGTTTTGAAATCCAGGTGGGATAGACTCAAGATCAAATTTTGCTTCCTGTGGATTTGCTTTAACTTTCTTTAGCTTTAGTTTCAACTTGCATATGAACAGTCAGCACCTGGCCTACTTTTCGCAGCTGATATTAAGTTTCTCCAGTGAGTCTTTCCACAGATGTAATCGATCTGATTCTTATGCTTACCATCAAGTGAAACCCATGTGTATAGTCTGTGTTTGTTTCTTATAAAAGGTATTTTCAATGAATAAATCATTGATTGTATAGAATTCTATCATTCTATCCTCAGCCTCACTGACATACTTTGGGTACGTTGCAGTCCTTAGAGAGGGTTGTCATACTAGGGAGGGTGGAGGGACAGCGCAGGAAAGGAAGACCCTGGATGAGATGGATTGACTCAGTGACTGGGATAATAGGAGTGAACTGTCAGAGACAATGAGGTTGACACAGGACAGAGCAGGGTTCAGAGCTGTTGTACATAGGGTCACTGTAAGTCACAGGCAACTCCACAGCATTTAACAACAATCCCTTTCCATCACCCAGCTCTCAGGTCCATAGCAAGTAACTGAAAAAGACCACGGCCTAAAAAAAAACCCAAAAAAAACCAAAAACCCAAACAAAAGCAAGACAAACAAAATAACCCAATACCATGCATGGCCCGAATCAGGCACACCTTAGTCTTCAAAATGACATCACTGCTCTTCATTCAGTATTTTGGAAAGGTCCTTGACAGTGAACTTGCCCCAAACTATACATCTCCTTATCTCCTGACTGCTGGTACCAAGGGTGTTGATTGTGGATCCAAGCAAGATGAAATCATTAGCAATGTCAATCTTTATCTATCATGATGCTGACCACTTGTCCAATGGTAAAGACCTTAATCTTCTTGATGCTGAGATGTAGTCCATGTTGAATGCTGTAGTCTTTGCTGTTCTCTAGTAAGCACTTTAGGTCCCCTTGGCTTTGAGCAAGCAAGGCTGGTCATCGGGACAGTACAGTCTGATCCTAATGCCACACTCTCTTCCTCATCGAGTCTGGCTTCATGAATTATTGGCTCAGAATACAGACTGAATAGGTATGGAGAAAGGATACACCCTTGATGCACACCCTTCCTGAATGCAAATGATAAGGTGCTCCCTTGTTCTGTTCAGATAACAGATTTTTGCTCTAGATTTCACAAGAGCACAACTAAGTATGCAAACTGTGTGTGTTACTCAGGTCCAAATGAGTCAGTGAGGCTGGTGGTGCTTGCTGTGAGAAGGCCAGCTCTGAACAGCAGCTGTGCATCTCAACAGAACCAGAGCAGAGCTCAGCCCACAGATGCAGAAAGAAATAGACGATAGATAGATAGATAGATAGATAGATAGATAGATAGATAGATAGATAGATAGATAGATGGAAGAAGAGAGGGAGAGGGGAGAGGAGAGGAAAGAGGAGAGAGAGGAGGGGAGGGGGAGGGGAAAGTGAGGGGGAAAGAGATTTAAATAATGAAGATGTCATAATGATGAGAGTTAATGGGCAAGAGAGTCTACCAGT